ACTTTTAGCACAGTTATATAGCGACTTTTGCAAAAAAAATTGTCTGTGTAAATGTTGTATTTTTGTGTCGGAAAGTCAAATTTCAAACGATACATTTTTTTTAAACTGATTTTTTTAGATATGACACTCTGAGTAAAGGAGCGATATCTATATATGTATGTATGTCTGTATGTATGATTGTAAGTATATATATGTAGTATGTCTAACTGGTGCATATGTATATAGTGCTCTCCACTCACTTCCTACCTCCTAGAAGATGTTTCATTTATGACTTTTGTCGTCGTACAAATCTATTTGACCAGCAATTTGTGATGTTTACCTTTCTCTCTGCCCTGGAGTGGAATGAAGTTCACTGTTGTTGTTATCGTTTGTTTATTTGTTGCATTCAAGGCATTCCATCGTTACAATTACAATTGGATAAGCAATGACATTCAAAAACAAGTAAGCAAAGGCTACAGTCGAGCGGGGCCGACCGTTGAATACCCTACAACACTATAATAAACCATACAGTTTATACAGGCGAGATACTCGAAAGAACTCCACAAGATATTGTAACAAATAATAAAAGAAAACCATAATGTTTCGTTCTCCAATTTTCGGATAATAGCAACTTAAACGAATTTGCTCATTTCGAATATATTGGTATATGTCGCTGGAATGGACATTTTCATATTTAGTCTACAAAAGTTGGCAAACTATTTCACACATTGAATACTTTTGGATGGCCATCCGAAACTGCTTGGCTTTTGCAATGTGCGGTAACCCCCATTCAAATGTGCGTGAGGATCGGGCGATAATTACGACCTGCTGACAATTTGGCAGTTTTTTGGTCCATTTCAACCCCTAAATATATAGCGATCATCTCCAAAAAGAGTAGGCATCTATTCTGACCCTCATCTTATCCCCATGCAAAATTTCGTAAGGATCGGGCCATAAATGCGATCTGTATATGATATCCTGATATCCTAACTACTTAGTTTTGTTAGCTGTAAAAATATTACCAAATTTTTGATTCAAAATGAAAATATGCCAAAAATATGACAAAATTGAAAAAAATATGAAAAAATGTTACAAAACCAATATTTTCATCTTTAGAGAGATATTTTAATGCGATTTCTTTAGACGTTTTTTCTTTCCTGCCAAGAGGCCATTCTGAATTAATGAGAACTGTCGAAATCAGTTCAGCCGTTCTCGATATATAAGAGATCTTTCAAGCATATCTTCTTTGATAGACATATATAACGCACATATTTTGCTATATATCCGATTTGTTGGATGTTAACATCAATGTAAAGGTCAGAAGTAACCTTATCATGACTTTGTGATTTCACCGGGATTTAAAAAATTCACGGTTAAAGAAAAATTTTGAATTTTTTCAACACAAAAGACATGGTCTATTTTACCCGCTAAATATTATCCGATGACCACCCAAATTGGTAGACTTCTTCCCCGCCCTAAACTCTAGCTACATGCGAAATTTCGATTTGTCTATAACTGCGACCTGTATAGCTACTGCAAAATCCGACATTTTTTCAGTATTTGGTCCATTTCAACCCCTAAACATTTGGCGATCATCTCCAAAAGAAATAGGCTTCTATTCTATTCTAACCCCACCTTCGTGCAAAATTTCGTGATGATCGGGCCATAATTGCAACCTGTAGAGTGATTACAAATTAACATGGACAGACGGACAGACGGACGGACGGACATACATAGCTAGATCGACTCAGCTCGGCGAGCTAGGAAGATCCATATATACTTTCCTATATGGGAAACCAATATTTCGAGGTGTTACATAATTTTTGGCCCAATCAAACTTATAATACCCCCAACACATAGTGTTGTAGGGTATAAATAGCTAACAAAAATATTTACTCTAGCTTTATTTGTTTGGAAAATAGGAGAGTATTCAAGGTTCAAAATAGTTGCTCAATCTGCTTGAAATGAAAATATGGGTTCAAGTAGTTTTAGGATTGGAAAAGAGTATATTTATGCATTTTAAAACCATATCGGGCGTCAACTTGCAAACATTTTCCTTTTAATGTAAAATGTAAAAAAATGTGTAAAAATTAGCCACATCGTAAAAAGACCTAAAAGTTTTTTAGAAAAATAACTTAGGTCTTCTAGGAATGAAAAAATCAAGGTCTTCTACGGAATGGGACTTCGAGTCTTCTATGAGAGAAAAACAATGGTCTTCTTTACAGACGACCTTAAGGTCTTCTTTTAATGAAACCATCAAGAACTTCCAGTAGGTCTTCTTGGACAGAACATTCCAGGATCTTCTGAATCTTTTATGAAAGAAAGAAAGAACACCTCAGTATCTTCTAGGAAAGATGACCTCAAGGTCTTCTATTTAAAAAGACTTAAATTCTGTTGAAGAGGACCTCAAGGTCTTTAAGGACAAAAAACATCAGGGTCTTCTAGGAAAAAATACCTCCATATCTTGTAGGAATAAAAACTTCAAGGTCTTGTATGAAACTCAACCTCAATGTCTTGTATAAAATGGGACCTTTGAGTTTAGCATGAGAAAAATAAAACTCCAGGTCTTCTATGACAGAAAACCTATATAGGCAACCTCATTGTGTTCTTTGAAAGAAGATGCCAATGACTAAAGTAGATGTTCTATGAACGATGGCCTCCAGATCTTCTGTGAAAGACAACCTCCATGTCTTCTGTGAAAGTCAACTTCAAAGTCTTCTGTGAAAGTGGTTCCTCAATGAAAGATCTCCAGGTGGTCTGGGAAAACAGACTAAGGTTTTTTAGGAATGAAAACCTAAGGGTCTTCAAAAAGAGAAGAACTCCAGGTCTTCCATGACCGAAAACCTCCAGGTCTTCTATGACAGTAACACGACCTTAAGTTCTTCTTTGACAGTAACACGACCTTAAGTTCTTCTATGACAAAAAGAAGACCTTAGGGTCTTCTATGAAAAACGACCTTAAAGTCTTCTATGTCCTCAAAAAAAGAAGACCACAAGGTGCTCTAGGAAGGTGTTCTAGAAGATAAGACCTCAGGGTCTTCTACAAGAGGATACACCAGGGTCCTCTACAAGGGTAGATGTCAGAGTCTTCTAGAAGAGTAGGCCTCAGGGTATTCTACAAGAGAAGTCATCAGAGTCTTTTACAAGGGAAGACGGCAAGTCCTCTATGGAAAAAACTTCAAGGTTTTCTAGAAGACTTGTTGTCTATCTTTCTCTTTCTCTCTAAAATAGACTTGTCTTCTACCTACAGATAGCAATGTATAGAAGAGCGTGCCTTTGCGACACGTATTAAGAGTTTTCTATCTATTAAAGATGAAAATGTGTCAAGGGTAGTTTGTCCTTAAAAACACTTAAAAGGTCTGCTGTCTATGAAAATCTATCAATGGGTTTTATGTTTATGAAGAAATGTCAATGACATTCTCTCTATAGGAAATCCGTCACGAGTCATCTATAATACATAGTCATCTGAAATACATGTCATGGTGTCTTCTGTCTATAGACGGACTTTATAAGACTTACAGAGCGCCTTCTTTCTATTTTAGAATAGTCAAGGATATTCAATCATTAGAACATCTGCTAAGGCTTCTTCAGTTAATTGAAGACCTATTAAGGGGTTTTCTGTCTGTAGAAACCATGGTAATGGGCCTTCTGTTAATCATATGTATCAAAGATACCCATCAATGGTTATCCTGTCTATGGAATTCGTGCTAAAGGATAATAAGAAGGCTTGCGAGGATCTGCTTAGAGGTATTCTGCCTGTAGAAGTGTCTTTTTGTAAGAGTTATTTGGATACAGAAGATCTTTCTAGGGATTCGGTGTCTATAGAAGTCCTATTAAGGGATTTGGCATCTAAAGAAGTGACGTATGGTCTATAGGAGACCTGTTGGGGTACTTTGTCTACAGAATATCTTTAAATGTGCCTTTTGTCTATAGAAGACCACTATATGTATATTTTTATCCTCATGAAACCTTTACAAGACAAAAAGAAACATATACAATTATTTCCAGGGACGTTTCTCTGTAAAGAACATGTTAAGAGGTCTTTTGAATTAGAGGTCGCGTTAAGAGGTCTTATGTCTATAGAATACCTGCATAGTAGACGATTGTCTTATAAAAATCCCAGATAAGGCATCCAGTCCAAAGAAGACCTACCTTTTTGTATCTTAGTCTGCAGAAATCTGAAAAGGGATCCTTCACTTTTTCCGGAAGTCCTTAGTGTGGAATAGATCTTCTATTTTTAGAAAATTTGTTCAGATGTCGTCTGTCTATCTGGCAAACCTGCTGAAAATCCTTTTGTCAAGTACTGAGATATCTTCTATATTTATTATAGCTGTGGAGATGTATTTGATCTATGAAATACCAGTATAAAGGTTTTTTATTTTATATAAATATAACATTTTTTGGTAGAATTCCTTCAAGGGGGCTAATATCTCTAAAAATCTTGCAAATATGTCATCTATCTATGTAAGACCTCTTGAAAAATCCTTCAGTGGTTTTAATTCTCTAAATTGCATATGCTCTAATACAACTCTGCTGCATCATTGGACTTGCTCTTTTCCAGCCATCATCATCGACAGGTGTTAATTTTTCTTTCCCGGCCATCAGGGGAAAAACAAACAAACAAACACAACAATGATATAAACGCCCCATTACAATTCTATTACAGCAGTTTCCTTTTTTTTCAATTATCTAACTCAACAACAAAAACAACTTGTTATGGGCCAGCGAACAAAAGGCGATATAATGAAAGAAATCACAAACTATTGCACAATAGCGATATGGCTGCTATTTTCCTCAATAGTGCAACATTTCATTTTTCCTCTTCTTTTCTTTGCGGACATTACTGTAATTGCCTCTTCTTTTGTGTGTGTGTGTGTTTCCTTTTTAAGAGATATATGGTCTTCTATTGTTTGAATCGATTATTGATTCAACATCGAACAAAACATTCAGACAGTCAGTCATTCACTCATTCATTCGTTTATTAATGTTTCGTTGTTGTTCTTTTTTTGTTTTTCTTTTCAGGCTAAAAGTGCTTTGGCTAGAACACCTGCTCGCCAGAACGAGACTCTCTTCAGTCCTGCCAGCTATTCACCAATGTAAGTTGTTGTTATTGTTGTTCTATACTTCTCTTCTTATTTCTAGTCAGCTGACGTTTTAGCGACTTGACATCAAATGCAATTCCGTTTCCTTTATCATTTATTCGAATTTATTTGTAATTTTGTTATTTCATGGTACCCTACAATGAGTTTTGAATGAAGTTTGAGGAAATTGGAATAATTTCTGTTAATTATTTTTTTAGTGGGTAGAGGAAATGGACACCATTGTAAATGAACTTGTTTTGGTAAATTATAACGTCTTTAACGCAAAGAAAATATCTGGTAAAGAAATCAGCGAAGAAGCCCTTGGAACCCAAAACATTTTGAAATACTATACTTTATAAAATCAGTAGTTTCATCTATTCAAATGTGCTGCTTAGGCATAAGGGATATTGTGTAGCCAAGTTTGTTGCTTAAGTCTTTTGATTTTATTTCCTTTTCTACACATTTTGAAATTTTCGGATTAAGATTTCTTGGCATCCTTACATTTTACCTATATTGTATCATAAGCAATAATACTGATAACAATTCAAGGATTATTTTAGTTCAAACTTTTAACCCTCATGCGAGTCACAAAAAGGATTTTTTAGGTTCTTTAAAAAAATGCCTAAAAACAAATTTTAAGTCGAAATAAAATGTTGTTCTACGCCCTGAGAAACTAAGTTAAAGTATTTTTTTGGGAAATATGACGAAGACCCACGAAATAACTAAAACCCGGGGTTTCCTTATATAAAAGCTAAGCCAAAACATGGGCCAGTATTGATCATTTTAGCAAGTAGCTTAAAAAACTGTAACAAAGTCAAACACCATAATTTTTACATTTTTTTAATTTTATTGAATGAAAGCAAAAAATGTCGGAAATAGCATCAAATTTAAGAATAAGTTTAGATTTGTTAGATTTTCGAATTGGTCCCCTTTGACACGAATCATGGCCTTGAAACGGCCAATAAAACCGTCACACGCTGCCCGAATGTTGCTCTGCGGTATTTTGGCCCATTCCCGGCGAAGCGCTAGCTTCAGGTGATCAACACTTTGGTATTTTTTAGTACCAACCTTGCTTTCCCAAATACTCCAGACACAATAGTTCAACAGATGGGTATTCGGAGATTTTGGTGGCCATTGTGCGCTGGAAATAAAGCGAGGAACCCCATTTTGTAACCATTCTTGGGTGGCGCGTGCTGAGTCCTGTAGGAATGTCCAAGGTCTGCAGCCAAAATGTTTGTGTGCCCAAGACTTTAATACATCCTCCAGAATATTTCCCAATAATATTCGGAATTTATTCTGATGCCACCATCACCATAGCCGGCACTTGAGTTGTGGTGGCCAATCGAAGGTGCATATTTTCAGCTGACCTCTTTGGCAATTAAACACAATCATTTTGTTTTTTTACAAACTGCTGGACAACGAGTGTTTTCTCATGGGAGAAAACCAAATTCAGTAGTTCACCACTTTCGGCCAAGCGAAGCAAATCTTTAGCTCTTTTGAGTCTATTTTCTTTCCGTTGTGGTGTAAGTTCTTGCACTTTCTGGAATTTCAATAGCTTTACCCCGAGCTCATTTTTCAATTTTACGAGTTTGGAGATGGACGATATTGGTCCACTCCTTGAGTTACCTCCCCCACAAATCCTGTATCAAGTGCGAAAATGGACAATATTGGTCCACTCCATTATGTACCTACCCACAAAGGGTCGAAATTTTTAATAATTATAACTCTTACAAAATGTGATGTAAGATTCCGATTGTCTTCAAATTACACACATGACAAAAATTTTTATTAAGCCTTGGTCTGGTGTGAAGATGGAATACATATATCCACTCCTCCTGTCTGGTTAACATTTTAAATAAACGTTAAGTTCATAAAACGAGAAATTAGCATCCGAATACAATATATAATTTTCTTAAAAACTATTTAATCTAGATATATAGTTTTTTTTCTGAGATTTATAGTAATTTTTTTTCTGAGATTTATAGTAAAATTTTGTATACAATAGTACCTTCTTTGACACTTTCCCCTGAAAATGAAGTATTAAGGGAAATGTTGTCTTAAAATAGAAATGTGTTTAATTAGCACCATAAAATGTAAACTCGCAATTTTCGCTTGTAATATACCAAATTTAACATGTACATTTCTGAAAAACTATTGTTCATAGATATATGGTTTATTCTGAGATTTATAGTGAAATTTAGTATACAATATTTCTTCTTTTGACACCATCTACCTAAGAAGAAATTTGATGTTACTTTCATACATAAACTCGTAAAAAAGTCAGTAGAAAATATGTAGTTTTTCGCGTTTTGTTTTGGTAACAGTGATGTTAAATTTTCTTAAAATATATTGGAAATAGTGATTTATTTTTATAGGTGACTTATATTGAAATTTGATGAAAAATATTTTTGTCTTTAACGTCATCCTCCTAAAAATATGTTTTGTAGGAGAATTTTGCATAAATTCACATGAGTACGGTTTTAGCCTAAAATGTGTTTTATACCGTCCACCATACACAGTATGGAGAGTATATTAATTCCGTCATTCCGTTTGTAACTAATGGAACTAATAATTTTAGATATTAGCATAGTATATTCTTGTTCAGCGTAAAATTCTAAGACGATTTAGCCCCATCCGTCCTTCCATTTGTTCGTCTGTTGTAATCGCGCTACAGTCAAAACGAATTAGGATGAGAAACTAAAATTTTCAAGTTCGAAGATGGGCTATATCGGTCCACGATATCGTATATCCTCCATACAACGGTACCCCCCGATACTCGGTATTTTGATGATTTTAGCCACATATTTTAATGCCCGGCCGAACTTAGCTGATTTTTTACTTGATAATATATATAAATTCGAGATTTTTTTGCTATGATGTAGACTTTTGCTGTATTCTAAGACCTATAGTAGAATTATATGACAAAACAAAAAATCTTGTAAAATATTTTGGTTTGCCATTTTAAGGGAGTTTTTAATAATTATAATAATAACTAACTAATATTAATATTAAAGATAACAACAGTAATACCGTAGAGTGCCTATCACCCAACTATTTTTTTTATGTTTATGTTGTAAGTCCGATTTACCTTTTATTGTACACCAAACGTCTAATATTTACCCAAATGGGAAGAAATCTGGCACTTACGACCGAATTGAGTCTAGAAGCTAGTATGCTAAATTTGGTGAAGATTGGTTCAGATATAGATATAGCTCCCATATATATTGTTCATCCGATTTGTTGTATTTGTTACCCACAGCCGTAATATGCACTCAGTAACAACAATATTCAGGAAATACATCAAATACAACTCAGAAATATCTTTGCAAATTTTATCGAGATTGGTTCAGATTTGGATATAGCTCCCATATATATCTTTATCTGGTCAAAAATTTTGCACCAAATGGGCGATACAAGTCCGAATGTAAAAGATACAAATGCTTCGGCATATTTAGTCCTTTGTACTTTAAATAATAATTATAATCAAAGCGTGTATGATTAAATTCTCCCATAAAAACTTTTAATTATTATGTGGGGCTCTACTAAATTAGCAAAGTGGTGTAGGGTATCATAAAGTCGGCCCGCCCGACCCAGTCTCAAGCAATTTAAGTTGTAAAATACCCCATATGTACGTACATCGAACCCTCATTCCCTCTTTCGATCTTTCTCTTCATTCTTGTTATAAAACATTAAATCATAAATTTGCAACTGAACATAAATTGTTGCAGAGATATTAAATGGAATAGCTAGGGTAAACATGGCATATTTTTCAATTAAAAAATGGGGGGGGGTAAATCATTGCATTTTCACTGTGACGATTTTGCTATTTTGTAGTATCATACACATCTCAAGGAGAAAATATTTTTAGTGGAATTTGATGGATGAGTTATTGACAATTTTTGTTTATGAAATAAGATGTTAAAATTGATCATAAGTATTTCTTTCATGTAGAAAAAAACCCATTTGATACCCTTATGTTGTGCATCGTAATATCTCTCTCATATGGACGCACTTCAAACCACTTCTTTAGAACCTTGCTCCACAAATAGTTTGTTTTGAATAAACATAAGTCTTATAAAATTCAAAAAAGTCTTCAAACATCTAAATATTTCTGTCCAAATTAAATGACATGCAAAAATGGGATATAATGGAGCACTCTTTAAATGCCTCCCAAAATATTGATAGAAAGGAGAACCGAAGCAAAGGGTTCGCTCCAACTGAACAATATCAAACTTAGGTTAACACAGCTTTCGCAACTTCCGAAACGAGCCCCGATTTTCCAAAAACTTTAAACCAACTTTACAGCCAGAAATATATTTCGACAAATGAGGTTTAAAAAAAATGCTCTAAATATCTCTAAGTTGAGTCACCCGGACTACGTCGGTGTTTTCATAGAAGCTTAATTAACATTTTTAGTTCAAATTTTAAGTTTTAGAAAAAATCCTTACTCTTCAGCTCCTCTATAATACCCCACTCCAAATGTATTTATACTCTCAACTCAACTGTCTATAGAATCCCTCTTCATCCCTTTAAATACCATTTTTAAAACATTCATTTTGATCTCATCTAGGGCATTGTGTTGAAACACCCATTCACCTTGTCTATAGACTCTGTCTGGCTAAAAAATCTATTTAAATTTCGTGTTTCAGGGTTTTAAATGATTCTCTTTAAAAATCCTCTCTGCCAAACCTGCCATTTCAGCTCACCTATAGACTCAGTTCGCCCATAGACTCCCATTTTATTTTGTCTATACACTTCCTTTAACGGCTGGTCTGAAGACTCACATTTTATTCATCTAGTCTAGACTTCCTTATTCAGCTTATGTCCTGTCTACCTTATTTGAATTTCTACTTGAGCCACGGCTACAAAAACTAGGTCCTTTCTATAGACCGTAAGGCTAAAACAATTACGGACAAATTATGGATCCACAAGTTATTTCTGATGGAGCAGGGGCGAGGGCATCGAAGTATATATTTCCAAAGAGCTAGTCGAATGACCAAAGATGTAGGTTGGTA